ATTTCCCTTTACAAAAACCATGTTGACTATTCCCCAACAAATTATGTTCATCTATGTGTCTGACAATTTTGTTCTTTACTATAGTTTCAACCAGTTAGCCCAATACTGAAGTCAGGCTTACCGGCCTGTAATTGCCAGGGTCACCTCTGGAGCCCTTTTTAAAAATTGGCGTCACATTAGCTATCTCCAGTCATTTGGTACAGAAGCTAATTTAAATGATAGGTTACAGACTACAGTTAGTAGTCCTGCAATTTCATATTTGAATTCCTTCAGAACTCTTGGATGTATATCATCTAGTTCTGGTGTCTTATTACTGTTTAGTTTATCAGTTTGTTCAAAAACGTCCTGTAATGACACCTTAATCTGGGACAGTGCCTCAGATTTGTCACCTAAAAAGAATGGGTCAGGTTTGGGAATCTCTCTCACATCCTCAATTGTGAAGACCGATGCAAAGAATTCATTTAGTTTCTCTGCAATGTCCTTATCGTCCTTACGTGCTCCTTTAGCATCTCGATCGTCCAGTGGCCCCACTGAAATGTTTATTGTAAACACACGGGAGTATTTATTTGATTAAAAACTCTTTCATTAGAATTATTATTCTCTCATCTTTCAAGAAAATACTTGAGTTTCCCTTTAATACTACTAGAGAGAACTTATATAGTCATTTTCCACTGAAGATTTCAACAATCAATTTAAACACCTGTTAAAAAGTATTGTTGATATATCAACCAAAAAACAAGGGCAGAAAACATCCTTTTTAATGAAGACCTCATAAAACACTAATACTTGTTAGAACAACAGGTTTCTATACACCAACAACTGTAAAAAATAAAAAAACCAATAAGGGACCTGATAAAATAAATGTTAAATAAGTTACAAATATCTGCCAAAACAATGATCTAAATTGCCAGTTTACTGGATGAGAAATTTTAGAATTATTTTTGGACTGTATGCTATTTGGGGCAGAGATTCTTTCAACTGGGCAGTAACAGTTGTCCAATAGCACTTCTCGCCCTTCCCTGCATTTTGGTTCCCTCTCCTTTTAAATGTTCTTGCTAGTCTTATGATTTCAAGAATTTACCCCCTTATCTTGAATGCTTATGAAATCCCCTCCTACCTATACCACAATGTTACTCAGAGAAGCCATGGAAAGACGATCTCTCTATGCATCTGTGACACGCATTGTCTAGTTATCATGAAATACAGCAACACTTGTTGGACTGCATTTCATGAACCTATAGCCCAACAAACATTCTCAGTCCACCAACATCCTTTCAGGCACTATACTACATTTACAGAAGCTTTACACTTTGTACCCTGGAATTACTACAGTGATGGGCACTTTACTGAAAGGACAGTCAACTTAAACTTGACAGAAGTGAGATTTTTGACACCTAATATTATTATAGCTGAAAGATGTTGGAGGAAAAACATTTTTAAAAATGTGAAGATGTGATCATAAAACCACAAAAATCTGCAAGAGAACTGAGGGACTTTTGCATTCGAAAAATAAACTAGATTTCAAGTTGACCGTCTCCATTTAAAGCACTGATATGACGATATCAGTGAAGCCAGGACTAAATTGCCAGGGCCACACACAACATGGCAGGAGCTGCACAAGCTTCCCTACACAGCTCTGCCAAGGCACTACCATCTTGACCTAAGGCATCTTAGTTATTCAAGTGATTTCAGAAGATGATGTTAGAGTAAGCAAGGTGTGATGGGTTCGTATTACCAATTAGTCCCTTCTGATTTTGGGCAAGTGAACATAAAGCCAACAATATTCATTTTTCTTCTTTGCACTCACAGGGTACTGCCTGTGAGCTGTGCAATTCTTCCTTGAATAAACCTAACTAGGAGTGCTGTATAACAGTCTGAAGTTGGTGAGTGGGAAGCTAACATTCTTGGACTTCTTGGTTTAAATATTTACAATTAAGACCCATTGTCAATTTCAATAGTACCCTATATCTGTAAATCTAAACTGAAACCTGAAAACACTACCCATGAAATATAGACTAAAAAAGCCATTCAGTAATATTTAACTGCAACTTTAGAGAGTGCTGTAAAAAGTTACGTTCGCTCACTTGTACAGTCTGTTCACACCAATAAGGACGCGACACTGAAGTTGATGAAGTTACTCTAATTTATACCAGTTGTGGGTCTTGCCCTAAGTAAATACTACTCCTCAACAAGTTAGGGCTTAAAAATTTCCAAAAAGAAGTCGATTTCAATTTACAGAATGTTACCATAGAAGAATACCCAAGATTTTAATAATAATCGGGCTACAAATCCATTCCTCCAAACACAAGTGATAAGCCTAAATAAGGCAACGCCTTGGAGCATATTTTTGCAGATATTTGTACCTGTTGCCATGAGCAGAGAGTAATACTGCTGTCTATGTTGTATGAGAGGCTGGGAGGTTGTATGAGACAAGGCTGTTTCTGAGGGGAGAAGGCTGAATAAACCTTCCCACTGGCAAGTAATGCAATGTACTGATACAATGACTCTTTCCACCATTAAACATTGCAATGAACATCAGTTAAAACTGAACAAAGAAGAAAGTGATTAATTAGAGGACTATCCCCATAGCTCTGGCATGCCACACTCCTTAGTGAGGGTTTATAGTGATAATTTATTGATATTTTATCTCTCTGGATTGCTGACACAGGAGAAAAGGAATAGCTGGGTACTTATGGCTAAAATTATAACAATGGTTTAAATCAGACACTATTGCTGTTGCATGCCCTTATTAAGTAATCAGATAACTCAGTCATTCTTTTACAACAGTTTCACAGATATGGAATGCAAACCTCCACTGCTGTATGACTCTATAGCTGATCTTGTATCAAACCATTCCACTGCCATGTGGTTAGAAACTCACTGCTGGTAATTATATCAGCAGGGGGCAATAAGCAAGGTAGAGCTCCTGAAGCAACAACTCAGTGAACATGGGCCTTTTCTATTGCCAAGACCCAATCTCCTGCTCCATATCTACCAAAATGGCTAGATACATTTACAGCAGGATAGCAAAGATCAATACACTATAATAACAAGGCAGCATACATGAAGAGACAATTGTACAGATGCACCGCCCATGCCAATGCACTTCTGAACAATCACCACATGTAAAGTTGTTTTAAAAGGGAAAGCATCAATATTTGTATACTGTGGACTGAAACTTACGTAAGAAATTGTTGAGGTTCAAAACAAGAAAGGGCCTCTTCATAGTATGGTTATAATAGATTGGAAGATACCTTAAAAAATATTGACTTAACGTCTTTGGGAGGAATCAAATCCCTGAATATATTTGCCAGTCAAATCAATTATTTTCTGTAGTAAGACACTGGGCTTTCTTTAATTCCATGACTTACTTTTAGAACAACCTCACAATTACCATTTGTCAAGTGCCTTCCTACCTTTCCTTTTAACGTATTATTAAAAAGCAACCTGTACAGTGAAGCACTGAAGATGCAGATGTAACGCTGACAGACCCCGGTCGTTGGCAACCGGGATCGAACCGGGGACCTCTGGAGCTTAGGGCATGAGCCTCTACCACATGAGCTAAAAGCCAACTGGCTGTTAGCTAAGTCTGTAGAGCAGACTCATTTTCTCTCTTTTTTTTTAAGTGGTCTTGGTGTTATTAAATGGGACAGAACACCACACCCAAGGAGGTGTGTGGGTTACACAGATACAGAAAAAGAGGAAGGACAGTCCAGTAGTTAGGACTCTAACCTAGGATTTGGGAAGACCGGATTCAATTCTCTACTTTGGCACTGACTTCCTGTATGACCTTGAGCAAGTTAGATCTCTGAGCCACAGAGATTTAAAATGTAAATGGAGAGAATAGCACTTCCCTACCTTATAGGGGTGTTGTAGAGTAATTACATTAAAGATAGTGAGGTGCTCAAATACTATGGCAATGGGGGCCATATAAGCACAATAGATAGACCACTTGCTTCTGTGTTTCCTTTTTAATTATGATCTATTTTGTATGTTACCAACATGTGCATTTAGCAATGTCATCTCTTTGTGTCAGGAACACATGGGTTCAGTGCCTTATTGATACACAGGTATTGGTGATGGCATTTTACCTAGGGAACAGTGCTGTGCACATTTACATTGTATGTAAATGATAAGCAATAATAGTACTCTCATGGCATACAAAATCGGGTGCCAATAAGGTCAAAGAGTATGCTTTAAAACGGTATCAAGCAACAAAGGGAACCCAAACCCAAACAGTAAAATACTGAACAAAGAAAAGCAATCAGGATAGAGAGGATACTTATACATTGATTGCATGAAGCAGGTGGGTGGTTTTTGTTTGTTTGAAAAAATCCTAAAATGCAGTTTATTCCCAATTTACTTAAGTGATCTGAAGAAATTCTCTGCTACTTTGAACATGTTAATTTACATATTTCACATGGCTCACTGAAATAATCATGCTTCTAGTACAGGAGGCAAGGTATTACTTTTACTATTTATTAGCTTCATTTATTCACATTGATGACCTGGAGACTGATGACAGATCTCCAATTGTGAAACAGCAAGTAAAAGAATAAATATAATTAAAAACCCCAAGGTCACTACAACACAAGATGCGCTTTGCCCATTTATTTTGATGTATGTAAATTTATTTTAATTATTTAAATTGTTAAATTTAATTATTTGTTTCAGTACTTGAAAGTATACTAGTAAATGTTCTGTGGTATATTTTGCAAGAGTAATGAGATACAGTTCTTTCAAATATTGGGAAGAGAAAAAAGCAATACTGTTATCTTTTAAGTGAAATATACAATGTAAATACTTTAACTGTTGGTTGTTCTCACAACCATCTGAGTTCTGCACTACTTTTAAAGTAGCAAGTCAGTAAATTCACTTCAGTGAAGTGCCTGTAACATTGCATCTGCTAGGTTATTGTGAAACACCAAGGAATAAATTTTAGAAATTGCTTTCCAGATTTGCTTCACCACCTCAATTTCTCATATCAAAACAGGTCTCACCTTTGGCCCATGAGATGATTTCTTCTTCACTTCAGAAGAAGACAGGGAGTTACTGGGAAGGTTGGGGAGATGAAGGCTGTGTCCCGAAGAGACTGATGTGCCATCTGACATTACCATGATCTGTCATGAGAGGGGGAAATTAATGTACTGGTTAAATATCATAAAATACTATGTAAGGAATTAGTAATCATTTTGGGAGTGGAGATACTGCAAAATCTCCAACATAAACAGCAATCTTGTTTTCCTCAATAGGTGTTGGATTATTTAAAAAAATTCCCATCCTCCATGCCCATATGTAAAAATCTGCACACACACAAAAAACCTTCAAAAACATGCCCAGTTTATATTAGAGTGAGTATTTTTTACATGTAAACCTGATGAAAAAAACCTGACGTCTCTTGGTTCGGATTAAAACCCAATTTGTACCCCCAATTCCATGTCATCTATAACATTCAACACTTTTGAAAGAAATCAGTTTAATCTACTTGAGGCAGAAAGGCCTGCACTTATTGCCATCCCAGTAAGCAATATAAATGTGAATCAGTCTTTCAGGAGTCTTGACTACTGAATAAAGCATTGTGATGTAAAATGTATTGATGATGCAACTGATGCTGGTTAAATTTAGTACCTGAAAGAGTTAAGTGCCTTGGTTCTAAAATCCTTTAAGGGAGAGAATCCATCTTCCTAGTCAGACAGGCAAGATGCATCTATGCTGACTACTGAATCTGGCCTGATCTTGGAGGGTATATGTTATTGGGTAACATATAATCTATTTGCTAAGCTATGTATGATAAATAGGTAAACCAACCAACCAAACATATGGTAGCATCTTAAGGTACTTTTGCAATGAAGCAACTATGGAGCTAACTGCATTTATGTATTAAAACTAATGGGACATCAATTGATGCAAGTGAGGTGTTAAGGGTCAGAACTTTAACTATGGCTAGTTGGAATACCACACCCAGGCAGGGGTTGAAACCTTACAAATATGGTCTTGAACACAGATGGGTGGAACACACACTTTGCCTCTACTATACATCACACAGTGGAGCTGGTCAGGTCTGCAAAGAGCATGGTTAATTCAAGTTCTCTCTTTTGAATCAGAGTCCACATTACAACATTATAAGCAAATATCCTTCTTTCTGGGGAATGTCATTTGTGCTAGCATCAGTTTATCTTCATTTTCATCCTCCAAGCCCCTTCTATAACATTGGTCTTGCTAGCTAAAACATAACGTTAAGAAAAAGTTTAGGCTGTGAACACTTTCTTTTGAAACTTAGCACATTTCCTTGAAGCTTAAATTAAGGAAGGAGACAGGCCTAGGGTTCAGATGAAGGGCTACTTCTCAAAGAGTTCAGCTGATAAAACATGGTGCCCTTTACTTAGTCGGGAAAACCACTATGTTGCATTTATGAGCACTTTCTTTGGAAAACACTTTGAAATCCCATAGCCATTGAGGGTATGTCTTCATTGCTGCGTTAGCTCAGGCTGTAGCATGGATGTTGTCCCTTGCTCCCCAACGTTCACACAGAACATCCATTGACCCAGGCTTGAGGGTATTTTAAGCCTGCACTAACATATATAGCTGAGGATATAGGCTTGATATAGGGTTTTGCCTCAACCTGGGCTGGCAATCTGCTTACTTTGAAGTGAGGGTGCAAACTAATCAAGGAGTGCTGACACGCCTTCAGTGCCTTCCCACCATTCCACCTGGGTCGTATTTCTTCCCCTCTACCTACTCCCCTCTTCTGCACTGGAACTCACCTACAAGTTTATATGGTGAAATCAGCCTTTAAACCCCATGCATGCCTACTACATTTCTGCTGCGCTTTCACAGCACTCTCACACACAGTCTGAGAAATCCTCTTCCCGGTGTGCTGCCAGCTGTCCAGATGCTGACATGACGGTTCTGATGAACCTCTGGTGTGAGATCACTAAGACCCATGATTCGGGGAGATGTAGCCAAGATGAGCAGTTCTAAGAGGAAATCTCCAAGAATTTGACAGCAGAAGGAATTCAGTGGAAGGCATCTCAGTGCAGGGAGAAACAACAAAACTTTGAAGATTGCATATAGGAAGGTCCTGGATCACAACTCCACAACCAGAAAATCACCATAAACATGCCTGTTTCGTTGCCAAAGTCAATGAAAGAAAAGTTGAACAAGGCTCAAACCTTTTAAAACTCCACCCTGGAACCAATAAGCTCATATTTTCAACAGTTAAAATAACTTAAGGTCAAAAGTACTGAGATAGACTTGATTTTAACTAAAACAAACAAGAAAAAAAATGTGCCCCAACATTCAACCACCATTCCTATACATTAAAAACTAAAGGGGAATTAAAGCTCTTGGATCTTCTAAACTATGTGTTGGACACTAAAGCAAATGTTAATCATATAGTTTAAATAAACTCAATTCAATTACTTAAATCATGCAGAGCAAAAGATTAAAGATAATCCTTTGCCTAAAGGAACACTATACCTAACGTTGGTCCTTGAGAGGCTCCAGCTTCCCCAACTAGTACATTTTTTTTCATTACAGTAGATTATTTACAGGAGATTCAGAATATATACTTCATGCAGTAGAAGCAATTAAGGGACTACTTGTTCAAAATATAGGGACCTATTGTAATCTCAGATAGCACTAAGTGATAAGTATATAATGAATATTGGCAAATGCTGAACTTCAATCATGACATCTTTAAGAAATGTCACTTTTCTGACAACTTACAGTTCCCTTGTTTAAAGTACCACTCCCCAAGATGCTCATTTTTATTTCTTCCTTCTACTTATTAGAAGACCAGCTGTCTATCCATGGGCATGGGGAGAGAGGTTTCTGCAATAGGAGCAACTTGAACTTCTAAAATTAGTTCTGAGACAGCATAGACAAAAAGAAAAACATCTGTTTCCAAGAGAGTTATTTGCTGCACTGATTAACAGCAACCTACTCCTTGCAACCTCTTGATCTAAAACCTCAAACCACATCATTAATAACCACACATATTTGTAATAATTTTCCCAAAACGTTATAAATCGGACTGTTTTTGTAAGTTATGATGGCTGCTCTCCAAAGGCTGCCTATATACTGTAGTTAAAGGAGGAACTGATGGATTTGGAGTCCCTTTCCAAAGAGTCAAGAGTATTAATTACACAATTGCAAACTGTACAAACATTCATTTTTTATACAGATGGCAGACAGGGCTGTATTATATTATTGTCTTAACATGAACTAAAAATATTTTTCCTGTGTTTTCCTGCAAAACTCATAAGGCAGTTGTCTGTAATGTCATATTGAAACAGGTGGTTTGTCCGAGGAAGACTGGGGTTTTCAGAGGCAAAAATCCAATTTAACTGTTACCTATCATTCAAAGTCCTCCAAATTAACTTCTTGCTACTGACTTAAGAAACAGATGAGATACCACTTCTAATCTTCCCGTTACAAATTGTATTTTTGACAGAAAATAAACAGTGGAATGGAATCAAATGAACCTTCTTTACCCACAGAATGAAGGGAAAAGTGAGCCAAACTTTGCACCCAGCTGATTGTTCTCTGTCTAGAATGAGAGGTCTCTGGGAGGTATGCTTATACTTACCTTTGGGTCAGAAAGAGGTCTACGTCAGAGTCTTCATTCAAATACAAGTGTCAGAGGGGTAGCCGTGTTAGTCTGAATCTGTAAAAAGCAACAGAGGGTCTAGTCTCAAAGGTGCCACAGAACCCTCTGTTGCTTTTTACAGATTCAGACTAACACGGCTATCCCACTGACACTTGACACCATGCAAGGCACTGCATTTAACCGTATGGAATGGAAATCTATCAACCTCATGAATTCTGTTAGTCTCAAAGGTGCCACAGGACCCTCTGTTGCTTCATTCAAATACAAGAGGAGTTTTCTTCAATGGAAACTGTTTTTTTGTCTTCTGGGATTTGATCTACAGTCAGGTTGATGAGGCACATTGCTTATGTATATAAGGCAAGACCAACTGGTTGCCACTGCTCCCTGCCAATCAGTCCTGCCACATCATCATTACTGTACTCTACTTAAGAAAAAACAAGGACAGAGTTTCATGTTGTCTTTTTCATTGCAAATTCCTTGTTCTGCGAGAAATGCTACTTGATCTGGGACAGCATCTTTACAGAAAGAGATGGACTGAACTCCACTGGAGATAGTGAATATTCATGCAAGGATTTGTTAAAACCTGCTCCTGCAGATCCTTTCCCTCTCCATATAGATTCAAAAATCCAGAGATTAATTTAATTAAAACTGGAAGCTAGAGAGGGACAAAGTTATTTCTGAAGGGATTTCTGTGTAGAAAATGTCCTCCTGCAGAAACCAAGCTTTGAAAAAGGACTTGTAAATTGGACATGACCTTTGTACAACTGTTTGGAACAAATGTTCTCCTTAAATTTCTTGATTATAGAAATATCAGTTCCAAGGCCAAATTACACCTTATCTTTTTTGTGATAAGCAAGAAAATAATTCTCAGACTGGAAGGGAAATCAGCTACACAGAATCAGCTGAATCTTAGGATCTTCTGACTTATGGTGATTTAGGTCACATTTTGTGCTTCAACTTTGATGACACTAAATGCAGTGTTAGACAGGAGACTACGGTTATTGAAATATGGCATGACTCCAAGTTATTCTAGGTTGGTCTTCTGGGTGGAGTCCAGTATTTTCCAACAGTCTGAAAACAGGCTTAGCAAATGCAAATAGTTCTCCTCTGTGTTTGTTTCTCATGTCTAAAGAAAAAGCCTCAATTTATTTTCAAAGCATGTGTACTTGGATAGTGCCTACACAAAGCCTGCCCTTCATCTTTATGATGGCGGGAAGATATACTCTAACTCCCCTCTCTCCCTCACCCCACCTCCTCCTTAGAGATAAGACAAGCATTTGGAGTCAAGCTTATCATTTGGAAGGGAATATTCCAAAATGGGATTTGAACAGTAATCGTTCAGAATCAAGAGGACCATAAAAGGAAGAACAGTATCATTTTCAGGAAAGCGGATGTACTGTAGTAATGTATCTCCCATCCTGTTTGCACACAGGACACATTAATGCAGGACTTGAGCTTTGGAAAGAAAATAAACATTCTCCATACAACTATAAAAAAACAACAACAAAAGATTCTCAATTTGGGAGAGTTTTATAGAGTCCATCTTTTACTCTTAAAAAGAGTTCACAGTATTTTACATTTAAAGAGCACCATTCATCTTGAAGGAGAATAACTCGACCTTGTCTTAAATGTTGCCAACTAGAGACATAAATCACTAGGCCTCCAGTTTAGATTTCCTGAAGCAGCTTCATTTGACTTGCGAGAAGCACATGCAGGACTATTCATGGTTTGGGCTTCCACATAAGGGGAAGACAGAAGCTGAAACAATGATGCTGAAAACACTCCTAAATTAATTGCCCTGAAAATGCTCATCTTGATCTGAAGTGTATCACTTGCATCAGCAGTGCTACATCCTAGATTCAGTCAGTTGTCTATTCAATCACTCTTCAGTATAGAGGGGAGGGGCAGATTTTCAGTGCTCCTACCTCCGTCCCGAAGAGTAAGGAGAATTTACATTAGTAAAAATAAAATGGGTCTTCCAGTACTGGAGGTTGATGAGGACCTTTAGTCCTTCAGGTGTAATTTAACTACTAAATGGACAAGACCTTATTGCATTTTCTGTACTGAATTGATTTGGTATAGGCCACTAGCAAAGAGATAATTAACAGAGGGAAGTATGAAAGACTAGTAGCCTCAGATACGGGTGACTTGTTGACTGCCAGTACATGAGGAAGGTGAGAGAGAAAAGACAATGATGGTTGGTTTGTCTTCTCAATAGCAAGAGAAAATGATGCACAATAAACAGATAATGATGTATACAGAACAAGAGGGATAAATGCATTTTGGCACCGCACAAAGTTAAGTCATTTATAATCAAATCTAAGGTGTTAGACACTTATTGTCCAGCTGAAAAACAAATAAATGGTAGCAAGATAGTCAACATGGTCTGTGGGTTTTTTTTTTTTTTTTTTTTTATAATTAAAACTGTTAGAAAGTGTACATTCAGGTTACCTTACAATAGCAGAACTAACTTTTCCAGTGAAGCCTGGACTGATATACAATACGCTAAGTATTTAAAAAGGGACTTTTCAAATATTTTTGGCCTTTTATCTGTAAGCACATTTTAAAAAGCCAGAAATAAGCCCATCCAGGGCTGCACTTCTAATTCTAGCAAATGCAAGTTAAATGTAGCCACACAGGGCTACTATAGCAACAGACTTATCCTTTTCTCCAGAAACATACCTAGCTCCCTCTTCCAATTTATGCACACCACTTACTTAATGTTTTATTTTCAAAGATCCTATTAAGCTAAGACATTTTGTCTGAAATACTTATAAAACTAGTCCCCTCTTCAATTTCAGTCCATGACTACTTGCTTTCTAACTAGTTACTGTCTCAAATCATTTGTATCCATTGATCCATCCCTTTCTTTTTGTGACTGTATACATTTGTACAAGACCTGTTCTTTTTTCGAAGACCCCCTACATAAGCCAAATAAGAATAATCCTTTTATTTACTTATGACTACTCAACGTATAAACAGAAACCTCTCCCTCATATAAACACACACCAAAACAGTGAGGCACTTTCCTCCGAAGATGTTAACATTCATACATGTGATATAAGTTTGTCCCTCACACACTAACAGACTGTCTTAGGCCTACTAACACCCATTCAACCGATATGGAAAGAAGTCTAAAGCTACTTCTACATAGTCCCACAATTTGGACTATGGCACATACCAGCATGCTACGCTGTAACTCCCCCATGTGGATGTTGCTGTTCGTGTTAATGTAGTCCTCTAACTAGGTACCTTTTAGTTAGCACAGGCAGCTTCCACACAAGGGAATTACAGTGCAGCATGCTAGCAGATGCTGCATTTCACACCCTCAAAGTCTTACCTACAGGGTCATAGACAAACTTTAAGTTGGTGTAACTTACACCTTCATACATTGTCTTCTGGCTCCTACTGTGTAACTTACACTAACTTTGTCTCTCTTACAAATCAGAAGAGCAGGTATAAGTAGATCGAAAGCAGTCTGAGGGTAATAGAGTCTAATTCATGCTGCCTTACATATCACTTCTGCACTTGGTCCACTTAATTTTCCAAACACTATAATCACAATTTGTTAAACAAAGTTTAACTTTGTGTTATTTGATCTCACCACAGTTTGTATCCTGCATTTCAACTTCAGAGGCCCATATAAAGCAGTTTCATTTATGAACTTAATTTCCTTATTGCCTTTGCAGAAATAAATGTGAAGACTTTAACCTTGAAGACAGTGAAAGATACCGTTAACTAATAGTGTACTTTGGCATTAGTCAGTCAGTCAAAAAAAAAAAAAAAAGTCTGCTTACTTGTTCCCCCTCAAACAATAGACAGTAAGCTAATCACTCACATACTCCATTTAATTTTACTCTCAAAGCAACTTTTATTACACTCAGTGCACCAGCAATAAGCAGCAAGTTCTTTAATGTGATGACTTTCAACATGGGCGTGGGACTCACCCCTCCGGCCTTCAGCAACTTTCTTCTGAATTCTTCAGTTGGGTTGTTGAATGTGAGCTTTTCGCAGCGGAGGTGGTTTACAGGTGGGTGGCCTTCAAGGTGCAGGAATAAGTCATAGTCAAAGCGGACTTTCTTCGGTTCTTCCTGAGGGTTGAAAATAACCAAATAGAAAAGTCTACCACCACAAATAATTAGCTTAAAAACAAGTGCTACATAAAAGAGTTAAATAAAGAAGGTGTCAATTAAAATGAATGTTACGACATTTGTTACGACATTAAAACTCGTGGCATAAAGCTTGCAGCAACAGTTCATTTTTAATGTAAGATCCTCGGTAGTTATCTGGAGCTGATTCTTCTTCATAAGCAGTAAAAAAAAAAAAAAAAAGTTAACAGGAATAAAACTGACAACCTAGCATACTACTGCGTATGGTCTCTGCTCATTTTGTTCCTTGTCACTACTGATGTGACCTCATCACCCAGGATCCAGACTAATCAACTAGATTTCCAAACATTCCACCACAAAATAAATAAAATATCTTGCTATTGCTAGTGTAGTAAGGAATGATACTTTCAGGTAGTAATTACATATAGCTTTTTTCCATGTTCCCTGTACCAATATAGGGAGTAAAATGGGGGTAAGTCACACATGACATGGAAGGGATCACCAATGCTTTATCACTTGGAAAGCTCCTCTACCAAAAAAGTTACTAATATCAATGACTAGACTCCAATTTGTAATACCAGGACAAGGAATCAATTAAGCATGTTGTAGGCTTACAACTATCCTTGTATATTTCTCTCTTAGAAGCCCCAAATGGGGCAACTACTCCACAAGAGCAAGTCTTAAGAGAAGACAACAATGGACATCACTCAACTCGCTATGCCTGTCAGTTGTACAACACAAGTTGCCAAAAAATGGACACGTAAGACAGAGTACTAATAAGAGAAAAATAAGCTGTCAGATTTATAAGAGAGTCCTTAGCTCTCCCAAGTATAACAGTTTCAGCATACATCCAGCATGTCTTTTTGATCATAAGCTACTCAGAGGGAGTGCTGTATTTGGGTCTCGTTCGGTGGCAAGCACACTACGGGTGCTTAAATCATATAAAAAAAAGTATTTACTTTTGACTCCTCAGGATTCCAAGGATGTGGACAGCAGGAAGGTTGAAAATCATAATTACAGTAAAAAAAATTCAAAACAAAGATTTTAAACAAAGTCAGGTTAAGTCCTCAAAGCTGCTTTATCTCTGAACTTGAAGCAGTGACCCAGGAAAAGGAACTGGGATAAGCAGCCTGCAGTAGCTTGCTTCTGAAGACAGACAGAGGAGAGCAGTCCCCTTTAGATGAACCAGCAGCTTGATTGATATATTGAAATGTACCACGGATGAAGGCATAGAGAGGCTAATATATGGTTTCCTGGGAAAAATTAAGTAAATTATTCCTCAAACTATTTGGGCAGAGCCACACCATTCCCCTGGCCATTCAGGTTTGCTATATAAGCCCAAGTTGAAGAAGTGAACAAACTGGAGTCTTCAAAGAATTTTGCTGAACATTTGATGACCAGAGCCTGTCACTTCAAAGCAGAAATTTACTGTAAGAAGCATCTGTAAAAGCCACAGCCATTATTTAATGGCAGCCCTGACAGGAGGGCAGAACACACTGAAACTCACTTTAACTCCCCTAGTTGGCTCATATACCCTTTTTAAAAATGAAAGTGCATTTTTCAATGTAGTGAAACCTTGGATCTAAAAGCATGTTTTAAGGGACTACTGTACATTTCTCAATTGCTGTTAACTGCACCCTCATTGCAGCTGAATATGCCATATGCTTCTCTGCATTCCTGCAATTCCTTAAAGCTTTGAAAAATTTTCTGTCAGAGGGAAGAGCATATTGGATTTTCTACCAATTCCTTTTTAGTCTCAGGAACAGGAATATTGTAATTCTTTGAGTCCAAGGTCCACAGCAGATGGCTTCCTGCACCCCTTTCTTGTCTACATAAACCTTGGACACCTTCGGAATCAGAAATGGAAAAGTTGTCTACCTTGAATAAGTGATGATCATCTGTCTCCTCTTCCTCCTCCAATCTATCCCCTCATTCTCTGTACTGGAATCCCTGTGAAGCAGCTTGGGGGAGGAAGAGTAGCTGAGCCAGGAGAAGGTAATATTTTGGCTGAAGAGACCTTCACGAATTAGAGTTGGCCCTATTTTTGTGTCTTTTCCCCTTTGTGTGCTATTGACCACAGGAAGGGTTTTGATGCTGCATCTGTGCGAAGAACTGGCTGACCCACAGTCCAACTGCTGCTTCTTGATTTCCATGGCACCAAAACAGGGGTGAGGGATGTTTGCAAATTCCCAATTCCAAATGTTGCTTGAGAGTGAGGTGAGCTGTAATCATTGGAGCCTTGTCCTTGATTTCAGTACATGCCACAATTCCTGCTGGAGAGCTCCTGTGACTTGAAGGCCTCCATATTCAGCAAAGGCAGCCAAAAGTCTGGGTGGAAAACAAAAAAAGAAATGTCGGGCGGGAAGCCTCTGTAGAGATGCTTCAATGAATCACTGTCTTCTGACTTTGAGTCCCCGGTTTTGGGCTGAACTCTGAATGGATGGGGCTTAAAGACCCAGAAAATGGACTGCTTTTCTATAATCAAGTCAGATATCCTGGAATGAACCAAGCTACTCCCTAAAGGAGACAAATGCACCAAAAAGCCAGTTAATCACTAAATCAATTCTATTTCTTTCTCCACTATCAGGTGAGGCAGAGTAAGCCCTACACTCCACAGATTGATACAGGGAACATTGCAAATCTTATCATTCAACATCTACTATTCAAAACCAACAACCTAAAAGGTACCTGAGCAAATCCTAAAATAGGATGAGCAGAAAAAAATCATGTACTGTATCTTGGCAGAACTTTCCATAGAAAAGAATGGAACATTGTAGTGCCTACTTAAAAGCATTTTGAAACTTGTGTAAATGCACTTATCTAAACCACCTTTTAAGTGAGCGGGTTTCAATGAATACTTTGGCTACGCAAGGTTTTTTTTAGTGCACTAGTCTTATTTAAAATTCTAAAAACAGAGATGTAACCAAAATATATAAATGCGTGTTTCTGTTTCAAGCCAGTATGTCAAACTACATTTTGGTGAATTCAGTATTACAAGATAAGCTACTAATACTGTTTGTGTGTTTCATTTACAACAGCAGCTCCACCAAACCACATTGAACGGTCATATGTATGCAACTTGAAATACTGTGATACTTTACACTAAAGTACTTTACACTAAATTCAAGAAGCTATGGAACTTAGATTATTCCCCTCCATCCCCGCCCCCCCCAAATCCAATTCTTTTTTATCTGAAAAGTTATTAGCTATAGAGTCCCTTTCATGTATTTAATTAAAATCTCAATGTTAACTACCTTAAGTACCTGCAGAAAACAAAGTATCTATCGGAAATTATACTGGGAGAAACCACAATACTGAAATCTTTGTGGAATGGCAAAAACTCTATTTTTAACTGTGCCCCCTGGTAATGTTGAATTCAAAAGTATCATTATTCACATTACACTAATTTTTTTTTTCCAGAGAGGATACGGTATAAAAAGATTCCCTTTGAAAGACCAAAAAGTAAACTAAATGACACAAATTGGCAATATTAATTAGAACAATGGGACCTATGTAAAAACAGCATCAAAATCAGCTTCTTTTTTTAAACTCAAGTACCATTTTAAAAACTTCCTAAAATCCTAGTCAATTTCTGACAAAGGCTAGTAATCCTTCTCAGTTTTTCTCAGGTAATCCTAATTTCATAGAACAATCTGCACAAATCACTGTGCAAACCAATTCTGTCATTCAAACTAGCCATAATTTTTAGAGTTTGTAGTAACTTTTTATGATGGCATTTAACAAGTTTTTTGTGATTTGTGAATTAAAATGCAAACTATCAAATAACTTGCATATTAATTTTTTTGCAGGAAGTTAAATAGTATCAGACTGCATACCTTGTTTTTGAAGTACACCTCAATTGGCAAAATGAAACCAGCATACCCAGATTCTTCAACTTTGTAAGGTGGATCTTTACACACTGAAACAATAAAAAAGAAGAAGATCTGTTTAATAACAAGGGTCATTAGTAGTTTAAAGAAGATGGCAAGATTAGAACGAGCATTTCATTTAGACATGTAGGTACAGAGTTGGTCACAGTTTTGTTTTTTACTTCCCTCTGCTGAGTTCAGGATGCATACGAATTGATTGATTTTTTGTATTTAAACCAGATTTTTTTATTTTGTAATGTAAATTATAATACATTTTTCTTTTTAAAAATAACCTATTTAATATTAAAACTGAATTCAATATAAAATATGTTAAGGCCTAAACATATCACCTCTTAAAACATTTACCGGTAACTAAAAATAAATATGCTGAATCCATGAGCCTCTTATCAAAAACTTTGAGTTAAAGTCTGCTTTTCTATATAAAGAAAGAGTTAGGGAAAAACAACAAAGTTTTGAGATCAAATTTAATAAATATGGCACAATAGGTGATGTACTGTGTTAAGTGCTTGATCCAATGGAGGACCCAAAGGCTGTACTTCTGGGTGTAAGAGACTGGCAAAGTAATCAAAGGCATCGGGATCCAGCCTCAGATTCCAGGAGACACCATCATGCATCTCACCAGGATCATCCACTGAGCCCATCCGGGTGGTCTCAGACTCCTATTTTATAGCTTTTCCCTACATGAGCTCTGATTGTCTCAGTTCTCAAATTATGAATATGACTCCACCCACCATGCAAAATTATTCTCCAGCTCATGGAAAAACATTGAAGTTTATGTATCCAAGTGTATGTAATCCATTTAAGATTGTTTTGTTTAATAAAAATATGTTATATACTGTTTATGTTTAATTAAATTCCAGTTACCATCCTAGTACAGTTTGACACAAATCATGAGCAAAATATTAATTCTCTAGTACATAAGCAGTATATCATTCACCATTTTCTAAAACATTTAGGATGTACAGTTAATAAATATCTAAATATATTGAGCTCTATAATTGCTTTAAAATAGCTACGGTATATCGATGAATGAGAATGCACCTTTCTTTAAAAAATAGCTGAAGTACAAATGGAAAACTGATTAAAACAGTTTATTTAAACCATTAATTAAATTGCCTTGATTTAAATCAATCCACCGTGGTGGAGTTTGTTAAACACCCTTTCAAAGACAGTAGAGTGACTCTCTGTAATTTGTGTATTACTGTATCCCAATTAAACCAAAATCTGCCACATGCTGAAAAGCCACGATATTCTGGCATATAGTAGGCTTTGGTAGTCTCAAGAATGGTGAATTATGTTACGGTATTAGAGCAGTACATACAAACGGTACACCTTAGGGTGTGGACTTCTATAATAGGATAAGATTTACAACATCAATATACCTAGATAACATTTTGCCCTATATTGTCGATGTAGTACATGCACTTTTAGTTGTGTATAACTCCAGCAACTTTAAACATGAGCCTTGGGACTAAAACACTCAACTCAAGCCAAAACTCTAGCCCTGACCTTTTCAAAAAGTTCAGGAGATTCAGAACCCAGGCCTCTTCTTCCTCCTGTTTAGCTATGCTAAAGCATTGCAGAGTAAATGACATGATACAAGATCACACTAAGCTGAGAGAGCTAGGGAAACCTTAACTCTTCAGAGGTGTTAAGCTAGTTCCTTAATATTACATCAGTGTTTGTACAAGCTAATTTCCTGTGTGCTATCATCTCAGTGACACGATAGGAGATTGCCAGATCCTCTGCGGATGACTGGTGGAACTGATGTGAACACATGACTTCTTCTGGACCATCTGGTCTTGTTATATCAGTGTTAGCTGACAGATTGAACCTGTGTATAGTAATTCCCCAGATAAATTAGTACCTGCTGCACTATAAGAGCTCATTTGGTATTGCTAGGAGGTTGCATTGTAAAATGTATGTTATATAAAGTGAGTGACCTTATATACCAGGGTGGCCAAACTTACTGACCCTCCAAGCCATATATGACAATCTTCAGAAGTTTGAGAGCCAGAGCATTTCTGCCAGGGCTCGGGGCTTCAGCTTCAGCCACAGGGCAAAAGCCCCAAGAACCAGGGCCGGCTCCAGCATTTCTGCCGCCCCAAGCAAACAAAAACAAAAACAAAAAAAAAAGCCGCGATCGGTGGCAGCAGTTCAGCGGCAGGTCTTTCGCTCCCAGAGGGAGCGAGGGACCTGCCGCCCCCAAATTGCCGCAAGTGCCGCCCCTCTCCCTTGGCCGCCCCAAGCACCTGCTTGTTAAGCTGGTGCCTGGAGCCGGCCCTGCCAAGAACCTCCTTCTTGCTGGGCACAAGCCCCTACTCCTCCCACCCAGTCTGGTAGGTGGAGAATGGGGGGGGGGGAGGGAGTTCTGTGAGCCATACTTTAATGGTCAAAGAGCCACACATGGCTCGTGAGCCACTGTTTGGCCACCCCTGTTATATACATTAAACGGAAACATTTTTACCACAGATGCTGTACGTACTACTAATAAAAACCAACAGCAGTGCACAGTGCACTTTACAGACAGATCAGAGAAACAAGTTGCCTGTCCCAAATTAATTACAATCTACAGAGACAAGGTAATACCATATATTTAAGGTGCTGGCAAATATTCAGGTGCTACAGAACCTGCCACAACTCTCCAGCTTCCACAGTGAGTGTGGCTGTTACTACACACTAAAGTGAGTATAGTCGGTGTGTTCCCCCGCTGTGGCCAGGCAAGCTCTGCTGCTCACTGCAGAGTACCGAGGGGGGTGGGGCCATAGCTCCTCCTTCTGGCCCTCCCCTTTGGGATGGCTATAGCGCTGTTAGCCCTGTGCAGCCCTTGGACCAGACTCGGTGCAGAAGCGAGAAAGATTCCATACACTATCACTTCCCTGCATACCAGTGCAGCAGCCTGTCACCATGTAGTTTACATCTCATAAACCAAGGATGCAGGAAAGGGAAGCAGGAAAAGCAGCATGAACACATCCTAATGTTTCATATGTGCTATGTTCATTACACGTTTTCCCCCCCTCCAATCATTATTTAAAATGTCTTTCAATTTTCTTGGTAGGAAAGAGGAAGAATTATAGTTCATGACAGTCTCTTGAAAGAAGGTCATTTTAAGAAGGGGTTTGAAGGAGAGAGTGAAGTAAGATAGAGCAAAACAAAGAGGGGCGTTTCAGACATAGGGATCTTTTTAAGCTTTAAATTCAGCCATTTATCTGAAAAACAGCCAACGCCAGTATTCCACATTTCACACAGTATTAACAGCATACAAGTGTTCTCTTTTAAAACCAAGAACTTTTACATGCTGAAGAAGCTTTTGAAAATTTAAACATAATAGTCTTAGTTAGGGGCATTCACTTGTTAAAATAATACATCCTGACACCTCCTGAATGCAGGTTACATGAGCTCTACTCCTCCTCCCTGCCCCTGGAAAGTCAGGCTAGGAGACAGGTTTTACCATAGGCACGGGAACTAGGGGCGTGGGGGGTGCTGCAGCACCCCCAGACTCCAGGTTGCCAGCCCCATGCACCCAGGGTCCTGGCTGCTGGCTACTAGAGTACTACAAGTAAAACCCAGTGGCACTGGAACATTTTTAGTAGTGGAGGTGCTGAAAGCCTCAGCTTGGGGGGGGGGGGAATCAGGGGGCTGGCTTTCAGCACCCCCACTATTAAATATGTTCCAGCGCCACTGGGTTTTACTTGTAGTACTCTAATGAACTTTGACCATGCAGTTGTGGAGACAGGAGACTGAAAGCCATTTACAAAAAGAGGGAGAGGTTAAGCAGTAAGATTTACCCAAATGGAAATGATGCAATATAGAAACATTTCATGTATGAGAAGAATAGATTGGCTGGTACTGAAGTCTCAGGCTCCCATTAAGTGAAATGCACTGAGGTCTCATTTCTCATATATGCCATGTCAGCTTCTTCTTGTGCATCTAAGTGGTCCAGAAAACACCTTCAGTATAAATATTTTCTTTTTTCTTCCCCTGAGATATTTATTTTCTTAGATTTACAAAGCAATTAGCAGTGCTGAAAGGGAAGATACTGACTTTACTGTAACTGGAGTTCTTCGAGATGTGTTGTCCCTATCTGTATTCCAATGTGGGTGTGCATGTGCTCCACACACCTGAGACTGGAATAATCTTGCAAGCAGTGTCCATTGGTCCATGCCTGCACCCCTGCTCTCCTCAAGCTCTGCACCAAGGATATAAGGGAGGAACAGATCAATCAGCTCTTTGGTTCCCCCTCTACCGCAAATCTTGCCAAGATCTGAAGCAAGGGAGAAGGACGGCAGGTAGCAGAATATAGATAGGGACCACACATCTCAACAAATTCCAGTTACAATAAGCTAAGTAACTTCCTATTCTTTTTCGATTGATGGTCCCTATGCATAGGTTCTGGAACTAAGGGTGCTGCCACACCCCTGGCTTGAAGTGGTTTCCATCATATGGAGTGTTTACAGTTTGGTTCAATGGCTCTCAGCACCCCCACTATAAAAATTGTTCCAGCACCCCTGTCCCTATTCCAATGACAAGCAGCACTCAGAGGGGAGGGTGTTGCAAGGATGCAGATGGTATAGCTATTTGTTGAACTACTGCCCCAAAGGATGCGTCAGTGAAGGAGTCCTGGACCAAGGCTATTGTCTCGAAAATGTGTGGATGGAATTGCATGTAGCTGCTCTGCAACTGTCAAGAAAGAATACCTAATGCCAGTGAGGCCATTTGTGTCCTTATCCCATATGAGGGAGGAAGCTGTGTGAATTGATAGAGTAAGATACAGCCAGATATCCACTTAGAGACACTCTGAGATGGGCAGCTTGACTTCAGACTCATTCTACTATGGCAACAAACAATCTAGATGACTGTCTGATCAGTTTTGTTCTTTATAGGTAAAATGCCAATGCTCATCGCACATTGAAGGAATGAAATCTCATCTCCTCACTAGAGTCATGGGGCTTTGGAAAAAAAATACATGTAAGTGAACTGACTGGTTTATGTGAAATTCCACAGCTATCTTAGGAATGAATTTTGGGTG